CTTCAGTTTTGCATCTGGACCTTCAATGTTCACATCAGGTCCCTCAATGTCCACTTTGGGTGCTGAGATGTCAATGTCAGCCTTGGGCAGGTTCATGTCCACTTCCGGGCCCTCACCTTTGAAGCCAGGCATGCTGAACTTGGGCATTTTCATCTTGGGCATCTTCAGGTGCCAATCTGGGCCATGAACTTCTGGAGCATTTATATCTACTTTGGGGCCTTTTATGTTCACATCTGGTGTTTTGATTTCACCTTCTACCTTGGGTAGAGACACATCTACATCACCTTTCATTTTGGGTCCTTTCAGATTTAGATCCACATCAGGCATTGAAATATTGGGGGCTTTAAAATGCATGTCAGGCATCTTAAACTTGGGACCTTTCAATTTGCCCTCTGGTCCTTCAATGTTAATGTCTGGCCCACTAAGGTCTGCATGTGGTACTTTGACATCTCCTTCCAATTTGGGAACATCCATATCCACCTCTCCCTTTATTTTGGGAGTTTTTAAATGCAAATCAACATCTGGCATGGAGATTTTGGGCGCTTTAAAATGCATATCTGGCATCTTAAACTTGGGAGTTTTCCATTTTCCCTCTGGGCCCTCCACAGCTACATCTGGCATATCAACATCCAATTTGGGGCCTTTGACATCCAATTCGGGGCCCTTGAACTCTCCTTCCAGCTTTGGGCCAGAAATATCAACATCTCCCTTGATTTTAGGCCCCTTTAGGTTGAAGTCCACATCAGGCATGGATATCTTGGGGGCGTGGAAGTGCATCTCAGGCATTCTGAACCTCGGGCCTTTTACTTTTCCATCAGGGCCCTCAATGCTAACATCTGGTGCATCAATGTCCACCTTGGGGCCTGAAATGTCAACATCTGTCTTGGGCAAGTTTATATCCACTTCTGGGCCCTCTGCTTTGAAGCCAGGCATGCTGAATTTAGGCATTTTCATCTTGGGCATTTTCAAGTGCCAGTCTGGGCCATGCATATCCACATCTGGAGCATTGATGTCTACTTTGGGGCCTCTGATGTCCACATCCGGCACTTTCACTTCACCTTCTACCTTGGGTACAGACACATCCACATCCCCTTTGACTTTGGGGCCTTTCAAGTGTAAGTCCACATCAGGCATGGAGATCTTGGGGGCCTTGAAGTGCATGTCTGGCATCTTGAACTTGGGACCCTTCAACTTGGCATCAGGACATTCCAGTTCAACATCGGGCACCTCCACACCCACACTGGGGCCTTTCAACTCTCCCTCCAACTTTGGCACAGACACATCCACATCCCCTTTGACTTTGGGGCCTTTCAAGTGTAAGTCCACATCAGGCATGGAGATCTTGGGGGTCTTGAAGTGCATGTCTGGCATCTTGAACTTGGGACCTTTCAATTTCCCTTCTGGACACTCAAGATTCACATCTGGACCTTCAATGTCCACCTTGGGCCCAGAGACATCAATGTCAGCCTTGGGCAGGTTCACATCCACTTCTGGGCCCTCTCCTTTGAAGCCAGGCATGCTGAACTTGGGCATTTTTATTTTAGGCATCTTCAGGTGCCAGTCTGGGCCATGAACATCCACATCTGGCACATCAATATCCACTTTGGGGCCTTTGATGTCCACATCCGGCACTTTCACTTCACCTTCTACCTTGGGTACAGACAAGTCCACATCCCCTTTAACTTTGGGGCCTTTCAAGTTTAAGTCCACATCAGGCATGGAGATCTTGGGGGCCTTGAAGTGCATGTCTGGCATCTTAAATTTGGGACCTTTCAACTTGGCATCAGGACATTCCAGTTCAACATCTGGCACCTCCACATCCACACTGGGACCTTTCAAATCACCTTCCAATTTTGGTACAGAAACATCCACATCCCCTTTGACTTTGGGGCCTTTCAAGTGTAAGTCCACATCCGGCATGGAGACCTTGGGGGCCTTGAAGTGCATGTCTGGCATCTTGAACTTGGGGCCTTTCAGCTTTGCATCAGGACATTCCAGATTTACATCAGGCATCTCCACATCCACACTGGGGCCTTTGATATCCACTTGTGGACCCCTGAGTTCACCTTCTACTTCTGGCAGAGAACCATCTATCTCCCCTTTCAGTTTGGGTCCCTTCAAATTCAAGTCCACATCTGGCATGGAAATCTTGGGAGCTTTGATATTCAACTTGGGCATCTTAAATTTGGAACCTTTTAATTTTCCTTCTGGGCCTTCAATGTCCAAATCAGGGCCTTCAATGTCCACTTTGGGTCCTGAGATGTCAATGTCAGCCTTGGGTAGGTTCACGTCTACTTCTGGGCCCTCTCCCTTGAAACCAGGCATGCTGAACTTGGGCATTTTCACCTTGGGCATCTTCAGGTGCCAGTCTGGGCCATGAACATCCACATCTGGGACATCAACGTCCACTTTGGGGCCTTTGATGTCCACATCCGGCACTTTTACTTCACCTTCTACCTTGGGTACAGACACATCCAC